AGGTCTGTGCTAGATCTGAGCAGGAAGGAGAGGAAGGCTCCTGCGCCCTTGTATCCTAACCCCATAGCTGGCCTTCATTTCTCAACAAGCCAGGCTGTGAGTTTCTTCAGGTTCAAGATGAACTGTCAGTCCCCCTGGGCGCACAGAAATCCCTTCTCAATCAAGGGCTGTATTTGGCATCCCAATGGGTTATAAAGTATAAGCCAGGGTAGTTTTAATTTGGCTCTCAAAACAATACTTTAGTGGGGGCTGGAGAGACAGCTCAGTGGTTAAGAGCATTGGCTGCTCTTCCAGAGGACCCAGGTTTGATTCTCAGCACTCACATGGCAGAGTACAATTTGTAACTACAGTCTACGGATCCAACGCCCTCTTCTGGCCTCTAGAGGTCCTGCATGTATGTGATGCACAGATATACAAGCAGGCAAAACCCCCATACACATAAAATAACAATACTTTATGTGTATAGATGTTTTGTTTGTATGTTTGTCTTGTACCTATTTGGTCCCAGGTGCCCATGGAGGGGTTAGAAGAGGGTGTCAGATCTTTTAGAACTGGAGGCACAGACAGTCTTGAACCACTGTGTGGGTGCTAGGAATCAAGCCGGGTCCTCGTAAAGAGCAGTGGATACTGCTAAGTCATCTCTCCAGCCCTGGTTATTCTTTTTTTTTTTTTTTTTCTTTTTCTTCTGAGACAGGGTTTCTGTGTGTAGTTCTGGCTACCTGGAACTCACTCTGTAGACCAGGCTGGCCTTGAAGTTAGAGATTTGCCTGCTTCTGCCTCCCAAGTGCTGGGATTGAAGGCGTGTGCCACCACCATCTGGCTCCAGTTATTCTCACTATAAAGAAATTGAACATTTTTGTGTGTTTCAGTACTATCCCCTCACCCCCCCTCTACCCGCCCCATAAATCAAGGATCCTAGGAGCTTTTCTGGCTTCCACAGATACTGCACAAACATGGTGAACATAGAGAGAGCAGGCACACACACATAAAATAATACTTGAAACACATTCACAGCAAATGTAGTATTTTTTGAAGTGCTTTCTTTGTGTCCTTTGGAAGAGGTCACATCGAGAATCCTAGTGTGGGCTTCTGGAAATCTGAAAGTATACACATTGGGTGTAAAGCGGTCAGTTTTTTTTTTTTTGCCACGGGTGAGACAAATACAGGCTTTTCCTTTGATGGAAACAGTACTTTTGAATGGGGCAGAGCTTTGTATTGGACAACAGGCTTATGATCCCCCTGAGGGGCAGGCATTAGTCTAAGGTTTTGAGGTGGTTTTTGAGGCTGATGCAGGCCCTGACTGCTACGCTTCCATCAATCCTGCCGTGGATGTGAAGTAGCTTACAGAAATGAACGTGGCACAGACGGGAGCCTTCTACCCATGTCCAAATCTCTCCCGGGAGACAGTGACTGGTCCAGCACCGAGCCTAATCACAGCAGTATGCCCGGGATCCTGATGGTCTGTGAGCTGTCTGTGAGCAGATTCAGTTTGTATCTGAACAGCTGAACAAGGGTGGTAAAATGGCTGACTGGCCTTCCTTCACTCTTAGAGAGCATTCCTCCAAGGTGTCCAAGCAAGTTAGAGGACAGGTGCTTGGCTCTTGCCCATGCTCCCCAGTGTTAAAGAAACATCAGCATTTTGAAGGGACCAGGGCAAACATCATTAATAGGCATGCTGATAAATGTTGTGCCTTTCACAATTATGAGATACAAAGTGATTTTATATCATTAACAAACAAACAAAACTGCTGTAGGTTTGGAGAGATGGCTCAGTGGTTAAGAGAACTTTCAGAGGAGCAGAGTTCTCCCAGCATCCACATAGAGGTTCACAAATGTTGGTAACTCCAGTCCCATGGTGTCTGATGCCCTCTTCTGGGCTTTGCAGGTACCAGGCAAGCATGAACACACACACACACACACACCATACACACACACACACCACACACACACACACACACACACACACATACATACACACACAAGGCAAAACATTTGTACACATAAAGTAAAATAAATTAGCTGGGTATGGTGGCCCACACTTTTAATCCCAGAATTCAGGAGGTAGACAGATCTCTGAATTCAAGACAAACCTGATCTACATAGTGAGTTTTAGGTTAGTCAAGGCTACATAGTGAGACCATGTCTCAAACCCCCACCTCCAAATTTGCTCTGAGCCAGGGATTGTGGTACATACTCATGATTGCAGTACTCAGGAAGTTTAGGCAGAACTTAGAGCTGGAGGCCAGTGTAGGGTACAAAGTGAGACCCTTTCTCTAAGAAGCAAACCCCAAACAGTTGCTTTAGTCCTGTGGATGCAGCTCCATGGTACAGCACTTGCTTAGGATGAAGCCCTGATTTTGGTCCCTAGCACCCACCCTCCCCACCCAAGAAAAGGTAATTAAAGGTTAACTGAAAGAAACCAGGGCACAAGAGAAAGCAAGGCCACTGGGCCTGGGGAGAAGGTGCACATGGCAAAGTGCTTGCTGTGAAAACAAGAGTGAGCTGAGTTCACACCCCCGGCACGCACGCACGCACGCACGCACGCACGCACGCAAAAAGCCAGGTATGATGTGTAGCTGTAACCCCAGAGGGTCTGGGGCTTTCTGGCCAGCCATTCTAGTCAACCAATTAAGTGACCCTGTCTCAAACAATGAAGTGGAGAAGGGATTGAGGAAGGCACGTGATGTAGATCCCTGGCTTCTCCATAGTGACCTCTGGCCTCCACTAAGTGCACCCCCCCCACCCCCCGAATTGGCACTAAGGAGCACTTTCATAATGAAAGAAATGCTTTTCCCCACTTTCACAGGATGTTTATGTACCTCTTCCAGAAGCAGAAATTCTAGTGTTGGAATTAAGAAGTAAATAAAACTTGAAAAAGCAAAAGTAAAAGAGATCCATTACACCTCTAACTCTCTCAATGCAGGCTATCCCCCATTTTACTCCAGGACAGTACCTGGGGCATGCAGGTGTTCAGCATACATCTACTGCTTTTGATAGTTATCTTAACCACTTATGCTTAAAAACTTCATGAGCCCAAACAGAATGACAGTCTAGTGCTGTGGTATCACTCGGTATAAATAAAACACTGATTGGCCAAGCGCCAGACAGGAAGTATAGGCGGGACTAGCAGAGAGGAGACAGCAAGAGGAGAGGAAGGCAGAGGGGAGGAGACACCAGCTGCCGTTCAGGGAGCATCATGTAGAGGCAGCAGGTAGAGCCATGGAACACGTGGCAACATATAGATTAACAAAAATGGGCTTAGTATGAGAGTAAGAGCTAGACAATGGTAGGCCTGAGCTAATGGCTGAGCAGTTTAAATAATATAAGAGTCTGTGTGTTTATTTTATAAGTGGGCTCCAGGACTGGCAAGACTTGGCGAGAGCTGGAGAGAAATTCTCCAGCTACAGTCTAGCCTACTGCTGGTCCTTAAGGCTTCCATCAGATTCAGACGCAAGCCCTCCTCCTGGGTTCAGTAAGGCAGGCAGCCAGGAGGCAGAGGCCCAAGGTGAGTTTATGGACAAATTTTCATTATTTGCACATTCTCTTATATACCTAACTTTGTTATAGAAAGTCACTTCACTTAATTCTCATAATAACCCAGGAGATAAACAGGTGATACAGTTTTCATTTCATCCATGAAGAAACAGGGTCTAGGAGGGAACTCAACCCACATCTATCAGCTAGAACAATCATCCAAGGCCAGCCAACTGCTTCCCTGACTAGTCTGTATATCAGACATGGGCAATAGTGACTGAAAACCAACATGATTAATTGTTAAGATTCAAGTGCCTTTGGCTTATTCAATTTAGAATCTTCTATCCTACACCAGAAATGTTTTAAATTTTTATTTTTAAGACTTATTTTTATGTGTATGAGTGTTTTCTCTGCCTGTATGTCTGGTACATGTATGCCTGGTACCTGCAGAGGCCAGAAGAGGGCATCAGACCCCCTAGAACTCAAGACACAGTTGTGAATCACCATGTGGGTGTTGGGAATGGAATCACAGAGCCTTCTCTCCAGCCCCTCCGTCAGAAACACTCGGTCCTAGCATTTCAAGCTGGTTATGGTGGCACATGCCTATAATCACAGCCTTTGGGAAGCAGAGGTAGGGAATGAAGACTCAAGGTCAGCCTCAGATACACAGCAAATTTGGTACCAGTCTGGGCTATGTAAAACTCTTTCAAAAATCCAAAATAAAAAAATATAAAGTTCCTAGTATTTCAGGGGAAGCAGGTCTCATATACTAAGTCCAGGGGACTCTAAGGGTGACAGGAAGGAATACATCATTAGAATATATTTTGAAATTAGGTAAGCTTAATTATACTTTTTATTTTTTCTAAGTTAGGGTCTTAGCCACAAACTGGCTATGTAGCCAAGGATAATGCTGAATTAATCCCTGCCTCTGAGGCTGGGATTACAACTGGTTTATGCATGAGCCAGGGTTGAACAACTTTCTGCACTGGGCAAGCAAGCTAGTTTAAAACTTCACAGCTGGTGAGATGGCTTTCACACATCTGATGCCCTGAGATCAATCCCCAAGACCCACATGGTGGAAGGAGGAACTGGTTTAAAAGTTGTCTTCTGACCTCCATATCAGCCATAACATGTACACGACCATACATACAAGCTGTCCTGGAACTCACTCTGTAGACCAGGTTGGCCTTGCACCACCGAGATCCGCCTGTCTTCGCCTCCCAAGTGCTGGGAATTAAAGGTGTGCACCGCTAGAGGACCCAGGTTCAGTTCTCAACTACCTGTAACTTCAGCTCCAGGGGACATGGTACCCTTTTCTGGGCTCTATGGACTTTGCATTCAGTGTGCACATATCCACCCAAAGATACATGTAATTAAAAATAAAAATATTTAAAACTAAAAACAAAACAAAACTAGATTAGTTTTATAGTAAATCTCTTGAAGATCTTGGTAACTGTAACTTCAAGAAAGTTATGTAGGTACAGAATTAATTTTAGGGTTGGTTCAACAGACAAAGTACACCTAGAGAGCATAAAAATTCTTTATTCAACTTAATCCAGCCAGTACTGAGTTTTCTATATTAAAAACAAGATATTAAAAAAAATTACAGCAGAATTAGCAAGGCAGTGACTAATGAAGTCACTGAATTTAATTATATATTCTTCAATCACTTGATAAGTACGTAATGAACAATATTTTCAGCCACTTAGATGGAGTTAACTTCTACAATAGAATTTTACTAATCATTGAATTTTATAAAAAGAGGTTTAAAACATTGACATTTCTAGAAATAACAGAAAAACAATATGAAAATAAATTGGAGAACAGTATACTTACATATTCCCAAAGTCTCTACTGTCTCTCTTCTCTACTACCCTTTTTATTACGGTCCTGTTCTAGAGTGCAGAGTACCCCCTTTTTGGAGCTATTGAGTCCTAAAGCACCTCTGTCCTTTCTCAGCTAATCCTAGAATTGTCTAAGTGTGACTTGCATTTTAGAGATGAAGGTAACTGTGGTCAAACAGCCACTTTGCCAAGGTTATACACTACAGTTATGAAAACTTGGAACTAGGATCTTAAAGCCCTACCCAGCTTCAAATCTGCCCATGTTCTTTGTCGCTTTGTGCTTGGGTGGCCCCGTCCAGGGAGGACTGGCATGGGGTGTTTTCTTGGAATAAGGCTCTTTAGATTTGGAACTCTTCAGATCCAGGCTAGCATTCCCTCTGGTCCGCAGGCACTTGTGGTTCCTTCCCCACAGCTCTCCAAACTACCTCCTGCTCTCAAGGGCTTAGACTTGTCTCCTTGGTCTTCATGGGCCTTGATGCCCATCAAAGCCAACTTGGACAGTGAAGTAGTCACAGGGAACTGAGTGCTTGCACAACTGTGTAAATGCTGCTCAGTTTAACAAAATTATCAAGGAAATCTCTATCTTTTCACACTGGGAATTATTGAAGCCAATATATTTCATAATTACAGCTAGATATCTAAGTTATTTTTATATATAATCAGAGTTCATATTTTTTCTTCAAAACATCAGTGTTAGGGTTCATTCAGTCAAATTGTCCCTTATACCCTACATAATTACAACTCTAGATGTTCAACAGTCATTCACACAGACACCATAAAACTCAAAACTGAGATCTCCAACCTATAGAAAGATACCAGTCTTTACTAAAATTATGTTTTATTTACAATCTAACATAGCTCAATCTATATTTCTTACACTCCTAAAGTATCCATTTCTCGGTAAGGGGGACCATTTATTATCATGCATCATATACTGTGAACAGTACTTTTTGAACTTTCAAATTTTCATTTTAATCAATGAAAATAACTGAAAGAACATTCAGATTGCTGAACATTAAAATGGTCACTATTAAACATGACCTAAATAACTGCTTTTGAACAATGAATATATAACTAGCTAAGCAAAGACTATTAAGGAGCTAAGCCCCCTTAATGTGACAATTAGAATCTAAAAAGAGGGCTGGTGACGTAGCTCAATTGGTAGTGTTTACCTAGCATGCAGAAGGCCCTGGGTTCAATCCTCAGCATCACATAAAAAACAGCAGGTTGCTTGCCTGTTATTGGGAGGATCAGGAGTTCAAAGGTCATCTTTACATACATAGGAAGTTTGAGGCCAGACTATGTAAAAGACTCAGACTCAAAAACAAAACACCCTAAAAACATCAGTATTGGTTATTCTATAAATGGATGTAGCCAAAACCAAACACCTTGATATTCATTAAAGACTTGTTTTCATAATCACGTCACCGACTAAGAGTCACAATACGCTCAGTACCACACTTTGGTCCACTCACTCTTGTTCTATTAGAGTTCTGTCAGAGCTGGGACCAAGCTTGTCCTGTCCACCACTCTAGCCCACAGCATCCTGCAGTGGCTGAAAATGGGAGGCGATTAACAAATATCTGAATAACTGAATTGATGAAAAAACAATAATTTTATTATCATTTTTTTTGCAAGTTGTTCTCTATTTAAATTACTGACTGGCAGCTCCAAGTTCCAGAAATACGAATTTAAAAACATGAAGTGATAAAGGGTCTTCTACCTCATTTCTCCTACCCCTATCCTCTCCTTCCCTCCCACCCACCTTTGCTGAACAACCCCCCAGATACACACAAAGACACAAACACATACGACAACTACATGGATCAAAATTACATTATGAACTATGAGATGTCAACATTGTATAAATAAGGTTTAATAGTGAAAAAGTGATCTGGAAGCCCTGGAGACTGATCCTACACATCTGAGATGTCACACGGATTAAGGAAAAGGCAACAGAATCCCTATTGTTCAGATGGTCATTTCAATGCTCACATACATTTTTTTGGTTTGTTATTTATTCAGAACTAATTTACATTTCCTCATATTAACACAGGCTCCTGTTTAGCATATAATCAAATTATGCCAGTGAGAAAAGTCCTCACAGTACCTTCATTGAGTTGCTGTTTCTAAGAAAACACTGAACATGAGTATATACAAAAGAGGCATCAGAATAAAACAGCATGTCCATTTTTAATATTTGTACAGTTTTATCTTTACATTTTTGTCTGGAAAAATATGAACAAACCCAGGTTTACCATGCTAAGATAATGGTTTAGCCGATGGCTGTCAAAGCAGTACATACAAACAATCAGGTTGAATCGTATCCTTAGGTTCTGTGATTATTGAGAGGATCCCCTGCCTTGCGTGCTTTATTATATTTCTTAAAAATATAGGAGCAGTAGCTGTCACAAGTCTCCACTAGTGCATTAGTGAGGAGTCAGAACGGCACAGCAGACTTGTTCGGATGAGAGGCCTCAGAACAACAAGTCAGTTTTATGCTTCTTCTTGCTCTGGATAATTTAGGATTTTGCGGTGTGCCTGACGTAAATATTGCTGCTGTTTGAAGTAAACTTTAAATGCTCCTTTTATGGCAACAAAAGCAATTCCACCCTAAAATAAACAGGGAAATTAATTTCTTTTGTAATGCAGGCTTAGAGAAACAAGAAAAAGAACTTTACACAGATCACGAGAGATACAGGCTTTGACGCCAAATAAGTCCTGGTGACTCCCAGGGCAACATTCTCTTATCTATGGGGTAAGATCAGAAAGAGGCAGACACTTTGGGTGGCAGAGGAAGAGCTGCCTTCACCTGGTGTCTAGTGTGCTTTCTTCCCAGGGAGCTCTACATTCTGACAGGAAGGAGAATCCAGAGCCCCATATGGACTGGGACCACAGAGGGCGAGTGGGATGACAGGAAAAGGCACGAGCCAGCTTCATCTGTTTATGTATGATGCTGGTACTGGGGACTGAGCCTGGAGCATATTCCGGAAGAGAAGGTGCCCACAGGAAGGGTCCAGAGGCCAGACTAGCAGCAGTAGGACCTCTCTTTTTATTTCCCTCAAGCTAGGACGACAGCGGGGTTAACGAAGAGACAAGGCAGGGGAACTACACAGAGCCCTACAGAACCTATCTCTCCCTTTAAAAACAAATACAGTTCACTCTCTTCTCTATGCTACTTGAGATAAGTAATATTAAATCCATCTTACCAAGATTGTCCTTTGTAAATTTGAGTTAACACTACTGAACATCAGTTTACCAACTATTGTCGCAATAGTAGGAAAGACAAGGGCTCCACACAAAATTCGGGTAGCAGAAACATGATCAGCTAAAGGATTAGCTTCAGCTGGAATTCGAGGAACAGGACAACCAATCCCTAGAAGGGGGGAAAGATCATGTTAGTACTAAATCTTAAGAATAGCTTACAAACAAACAAACAAACCATGTGGTGATTCAATTTAACATGTACTTTATATAGCCACAATTCAGCACAATTCAGGACCTTACCTGGAAATATACTGTTCAAGATTTGCAGTTTATTTGAGTATTTGCGCCATAGTCTGAGCACATAGTCCTCCCAGCGAATCATTTTGCCCAGTATTAGCATGACAGGAATAGTAGGGAGTCCAATCAAAAGGAACAAAGGGTCAGCTCGCTCCATAACATCCAGCCCTTCCTTATGGCCTACAACCTGTGAAGCAGATGGTATTTCCTAGTTATTTTCTTATCCAAAGCAGTGGTACATATTTGTTTATTTGGCTGTTTTCAAGACAAGGTTTCTCTGTGTAGCCCTAGCTGTCCTCGAACTCAGAGATCCACCTGCTTCTGCCTCCTGAGTGCTGGGATTAAAGGTGTGTGCCACCACTGCCAGGCCACAGTGGCACATATTTAAGTGATACATATTCAGTTTATTTTGTAAGAAATATTTTCAAAGCACAGAAGCAAAAGTTGAAAAAAAAAGCCTGAAAGCAATTATCCTTAATTTGTTTGTGAGAAATAATACTGGGACTAGATGGCTCAGTGGTTAAGAATACTTGCTGCTCTTGTGGTGGACCCAGGTTTGAGTCCCAGCTCCCAAATGGCAGCTCACAACCACTTGTAACTCCAGTTCCAGGGATCTGATAAGCTATTCTGGCCCCTGGATCTACACACAAGTGGTGCATATATACTCCCATAGACTAGCATATATATGTATAAAAATAAATCTCAAACATCAAAAAATAAAAAAAGAAAAAGAAAGATCACTCACAGCTGAGTGAGGCAGTGTACACCTTTAATCCCAGTACTTGGAACACAGAGGCAGGCAGATCTCTGTGACTTTTAGATCAGGTGGGTCTACATAGCTCTATGTTAGCCAGGGTTACATAGTGAGACCCTGTCTCAAAATAAAATAATCATGATCTATCCAAGAGGAGCTGTGGATAAAATTTCCAAGCGATTCCATTTTATGATGAAATAAAAAACTTTACAAATATGGCTGACTGCATATCTCAATAGAGTTGAGAAGGGACATACAAGTTTTGTTGTAATTTTTTTTTTTTTTTTTTTTTGAGACAGGGTTTCTGTGTAGTTTTGGTGCCTGTCCTGGATCTTGCTTTGTAGACCAGGCTGGCCTTGAATTCACAGAGAACCGTCTGGCTCTGCCTCCTGAGTGCTGGGATTAAAGTTGTGTGCCACCACTGCCCGGCCTGATTTCCTTTTTTGTAGTATTTGAGATGTTTGCTCGTTTGGGTTATTTTGTTTGTTTTCATTTTGAGACATGTTTCACCAGGTTGGCCTAGAACTCCTAGAACTGCCTGCCTCTGTCTCCCTAGTGCTGGGATTAAAGGTGTGCACTACCACTGCCTGGCTTGTTATTTAATTTTTTGAGACAGGGTCTCACTGTGTAACTCTGGCTGGCCTGGAACCCACTATGTAGACCAGGATGGCCTCAAATTCCACGAGATCCACTTGCTTCTGCCTCTCAAGTGCTGGGATTAAAGGCACACACTGCTTTTCAGTGTAGCAACCATTTTTCAGTAATTGGGAAAGATGAAAGGCACCTGCTGGATGTTCTCTAGACCGTTTAGGAAGCATGGAGGAGTTCCTCTGGCCACATAACATGTGAATCACAGGAAGGGTGGCACTGCAGACATCAAGGAAATGGGCACTGTTCAAAAAGGAACGCCCCATTAAGTGTTACCAAGTCAAAACTGGAAGTTCACAACATCACTTAGCATGCTGTGGGAATCACTGTAAACAAGCAAGTTAAGGGGAAGATGCTTGCCAAGAGAACCACTGTGTGCACCGAGCATATTAAAGACTCCTAAGAGCTGAGACACCTTCCTGAAACAGGTGAAGGAAAACAATCAGAGAGAGAAAGGCACCTGGCTGCAGCTCAACACCAAACTGTACAATCCAGGAGAGCACACTTTGTGAGAACTAATGGAAAGGAGCCTGAGATGCTGGAGTCCATTTTCTGTGAATTCACAGCTTTGTAGACAAGAATAAAGAACTTAGACTGTAAAGTATTTTTTGGGTGGGGAGTGGGAGGAGAGAAATGCACCAGCATGTAGGGTGGGGCATCTCTCATTTACTTCCATTCCTCTTACTCAACTTGTCAGTGAGCTCTTGGACTGGGATAATTTTAGATCCTATTTGTTCTCTAGAAGATGTTTGTGTCCTGCGCTTTCTTTTAGGTGAGCACAGCCAATCAAGGAGTGAGACTAGCCTTCAAGAGATAGCCTAAAAAACACAGCTAGCAGCTGAGGGTGTAGTTCAGTGGTCACAGTGCTTTGCTCATGTAAGGCTTAAGTGTCATGGCACATTGCCTGTTAATTCCTAGCTATTTGCTACTTATTTCAACGTGTATGGAGGTGATTTTTCACACTAGGGGCAGGACCTAATGTTGAGACCTTGCTATCTAAAACAGGACAACAAATTAGTAAACTAAGTTTATCTATGGCACAACATTGTTTTTAGGGTTAAAGGCATCAGTGTTTAAAAGGCATTCATTCTAGTGCTGGGGAAGTTAACAATGCTCTTTTCAATAAAAAAATACAAGTGGAGGGTGAGTAGAAGTACTTGCACTTAGGCCTAAGTAACCTTAGCATGATTACGGGATTCACAAGGTGACAGGTGAACTGACTCCCAAGAGTTGTCCTCTGACCTCCACACGGAATAGGCCTATACACAATGCATATACACACAAATGAAAGTATTTTTTAAAATCTCAAAATGTAAGTGAAATTTGATCTTTATAGTTCTTTATATATTCTAGACATGAGTCTCCTGTTTAATGTACAGGTAGCAATCTTTTCTCATTCTGAGTGTTATGGGATATTTGTACACTGTGTGAAGATACATTGCTGTGATTGGTTTAATAAAGAGCTGAAGGGTCAATAGCTAAGCAGGAAGTATAGGTGGCACTTCCAGGTAGAGAGAGAAGTAGGAAGAGGAATCTAGGCACACAGGAGAGATGCCAGGAGATGGAGAACAAGCAAGACATGCAGGAGGAGAGGTAACAGCCACGAGCCACATGGCAGCATGTAGAGTAATAGAAATGGGTTAATTTAAATTATAAGAACTAGTTAGGAACTAGCCTAAGTTAGAAGCTGAGCTTTCATAATAACAAGTCTCCATGTCATTATTTGGGAGCTGGCTGGCAAGACAAAGACTTGTTACACTGAAGGCTATCTTCACTGTGGTGACTGTTTCCTCTGCTGTCAGAAAAGTTTTAATTTAGTGTAATTCCGATCTTCATTTCCTGTGCTGCTAGAGTCCTTCTGGGGAAATTCTTGTCTACGCCTCTAAGAGTTTTACCTATGTTTTTCTCAGGCCTTTGATTCATTCTGAATTGTTTTTTTGTACAGATATGGATTTAGTTCCATTCTCCTTCAAGAGGATATCCTGTTTACCCAGGATACTATTTACTGAAGAGCTTGGTTTTTCTCCTCCCATGTATGCATGTTTATATTTTGAGACATGGTCTTATATATCTCAAGCTACTGTCTCAAACTCACTATGGAGCTAAGGCTGATCTTAAACCTTTGATCTTCCTGCCTCTACTCCTCAAACAGTTATAGGCACTGGACATCACACCCAAACCAATACATGTTTTTGACACTATTGTTGAAAATTAGGTGGATATAGCTGTGTGTATTAACTCCTATGTTTTTTATTCTATTCTGTTGGTCTACATGTCTGTTTTTGTGCCAGTATCATAGTATCGTTACTAGGGCTCTGTAGAAAGTATGAGATCAGTTTGCTTTTAAGATAGAGTCTTACCATGTTACCCTTATTGGCCTGCAACTCACAGAATGATGAGATTAAAGGCACAGACCACTGTATCTGGCTGAGACCAGGTATAGTGATATATGCAGCACTGTTCTTTCTGCTTAGATTGCTTTGGCCAATGAGAGTATTTTAGTGTGTATGACTTTTAGGATTGCCTTTTCTAGTTTAGTGAAGACACTAGAATTTTGATACCGACTATGTTGATTCTGAAGTTTGGTTTTGATAATAGACTTTTTTGTTTGCTTGCTTTTGTTTTTGGAGACAGTGTTTCTCTCTGTAGTCCTGGCTGTGCTGGAACTTACTCCGTAGACCAGGTTGGCCTCAAACTCAGAGATCCACCTGCCTCTGCTTCACTAGGGGTGGGATTAAAGGCTCGTACAACAGACATTTATGTAATATTAATTCTGCCAATCCATGCATAGGGAGTTCTTTTCATCGTTTGTTTATATATATATATATATATTTTATGTGTATGGGTGTTTGCCTGAACATGTGTCTGTGCACTACATGTTTCCCTGGTGCCTACAAAAGAGGGCTGGGCTCCCTGGAACTAGAGTTACAGACAGCTGTGAGATACCAAGTGTGTGTTGGGAATTTAACCCAGATCCTTTAAAAGAGCAGCATTATTCACCACTGAGCCATCTCTCTAGACCTTAATGTCTTCTTCAATATCCCAAAGTTAGGTTTATTTTTAAATATTCTATTTTTTTAAGCTATTGTGAATGGAGTTTTTCTAATCCCCAAATGGGCTAATGAACTGAATATAGTTCTCAAAGAAATACAAATGACTACTATATATTAATATTTGAAAAGGTGTTCAACATCATTAGACATCAGGGATGCAAACCAAAACTGCTCTAAAATTCCAACCTATCTAAGTCAGATGACCAACTCTGAGAAACAATAAAGGCTGGCCAGGGAAGATGTGGAAATAGAGGACTCCTTATACTTGGTTAGTGAGAATATAAACTAGTGTAGACACTGTAAAGGTCAGCATGGAAGTTCCTCAAAAAAACTACACTACTCTTGGTGATATACCCAAAGGACCCTTATGTCTATCAACAGATATATGGATAAAGAAAATGTGGTACACATAAACAATGAAATTTTATTCAGACAGACAGACAGACAGACACACACACACACACACACACACACACACACACACACACGAAGACATTTCCAAGAAAATGGTCAAACCTGACAATCGTTATGTTAAGGAGTTTAAGCATTTCTCTAACTGATGGGTTGAGAACACAGCTCAGCATAATGGGAAAGGAGTCTGACTGAGTCTGAGGCCAACTGGGTAAAAGGCGGCCCCAGCTCATTTTCTCCTTTTTATACAGTCTAGAACCCCACCTCATGGAATGGTGTTGTCCATAGTGAGGGTGTATGTTAATTAACCTAATCTAGATAATCCCTCGTAGAAGTGCCCAGAGGTTTCTATTTTTAGTGACTAGTTCCTGTCAAGTCCACAATCCACATTAACCATTAGAGCAGCATAAGGCTATAATACTACCACTTGGTAGGCAGGAAGTTCAGAAATCAAGTTCAAGATCAACCTTGGGCTACAAATCAAACTGGAGGCAAGCCTGGGTAACATATCCTGTCCATTCATATATTGCTAATGTTAATTTTGGACTTGACATCAACTAGTGTGCTACCCCTCCCCCCCAAAAAACCCACTAAATACTGTTGGTTTATTGAAGCATATTCTCTATCAAATATGTCCAGATAACTGCTTCTAAAGACACTGTATAGAAATAAAAATAACTAAATAGAAGTGTTATAATAATGGAATGTCAAAAACAATGTTAAGTAACAGCAGGAACATATATTCTTGTCTTACTTCTGACTTTCAATCTACATTTACAGGATCTTTTTTTTACGATGAAAACTTTGCTTACATACTCATATATGCAAGTTTACGTAGATAAATGATGCCCTCCCAGTACTCTTAAATCACACAGTACTGATCTACTGTCCCAGCTAATCACTCATTCCTGGAATACATGTTTCAAGCAAGGCAATAAATGTAAAGGTGGTTTCTAAACAGTTAATACACACTACATATTTGCAACTGGTTTCCTTGCTTATATTAATAATTCCAGTCTATAAATCCAAATTATTTAAAATTTTCAAGGACCAGCTCAAGATTTTTCTTATAATAGCAACTGATTTTTCCCTTTTACTGAATTAAAAATGATTATGAAGTTCTGTATTCAATTCATACTTACATACATAATTATATAAGTGTTCTCTAGTATTTCATTTATGTATACCTTGCTTGAAACCAAATACTGAGACCTATCTAAAAATAAATATTTTTATACACAGAATGTTATGCAGATCTCTATAGTTATGTGAAAAGATCAAGAATCATTATGAAAAAGAGACTGCTGCTATATGAAATTAGCTATAGTGGCTACCTGAGGAGGTGATGGGGGATCTAGGCAAATGAAGGACAGGAGGAGAACTATTCACTAGACCACTCTGTATAACACTGTTTACTGTGTGCGTGTATGGGGGTGGGTCATGCTACAGCTCTTGTGTAGAGTTCAAAGCACAACTTCTTTTGGGAATCAATTCTCTCCCTTTCTATCATGTGGGGGTTGAGGGATTGAATTTGGATCATCAGGCTTTGTGGCAAGCATCTCTACCCACTAAGCCATCTTGTTGGCTCTAGTCGACTTTTTCTATAACTTCTTATTCTTGAATCATGACAGCATCATTACTTATTTAAAACAGTACATTTTAAAAACTCCTAGCAAATACTGAATAGCCCTTCCCATCAAAAGTAGTATCACTGAATAGAGTAGAATGGTGAACCTGCATCACTGTCACTGCTCCATAAGTCACAGCTGTCCAATAGATAGATCCAACCATTATTCCTGCTGCAGCAAAAGGGCAAGCTTTTGAGATCAGTCTATCTGCAAGATCCAAGACATAAACGACTGGACCTACAATATGAAGAGAGAAAAGTATCAACACAAAGTGTTTTTAGAGTGACTTCTTCAATATTTTCCATAGGTTTAAAACACTTGTATGAAGTGAGATGTTCTAAAAATAGTTAAGTGGGTATTTTTAGATTTTATTTATGTGTGCATGTGTGCACATGCGCCCACATGTGTCACATACAGTTGGATGCCTGTGGATGCCAGAGGTGTTGGATCCCCTGGAGATGGAGTTACATGTGCCTCTGAACCACTTGACAAGGGCGCTGGGAACTAAACTTGCGTTCCCTAGAAGAGCAAACAACGTCATGCTCTTAACTACTGAGCCATCTCTCCAGCTTCTAGTTGCTATAAGTCTGATGGGAATTCAGATTTGAACAGTTTAGAATTTCTCAATCATTTGCATGAATGAATTCTAGGCTGTTCAAGCTTTTATTACTGACCCTGTAATTAGAGCTTTAAATATAGTTGCTTCCAATGAAGGAAACAATCCTTATTTCTATCTCAATCACACTGGCTACCACAGAGTGAAAAGGCTATTTTAGCTCCCCGCCCCCCAAATAGTTCCTAGGAACCTTTAAGTCTTGTAGTAGTACCTGATTTAAAAAAAAAAAAAAAATAACATTTCTGACTTTAGTCATTGTGTCTTGGCACAGTGAATAAAGGTAATCATGCTATTTTTTCTAAAAGATTGATTTATTTAATGTTTATGAGGGTTTTTTTTGCCTGCCTGCATGCCTGTGTAGCATACAGATGCTTGGTTCCTGCAGAGGTCAGAAAAGGGTGTTGGGTCCTCTGAAACTAGAATTATATATGGCTGTGAGCTTCTATGTAGGTGCTAGGAATTGAACCAGGTCTTCTGCAAGAACAGCAAGTGCTCTTAACCAGTGAGTCATCTCTTTAGCTCTCTAGCTATTTTCTTATAGCTATACAAGTCAGTTTATTTTACTTAATTTTAAATACTATATTTAGTTGAAAAAACATTTAAAGATTTATTTTATTTATTATGTATACAGTGTTATGTCTGCATGTGTGCCTGCAGGCCAGAAGAGGGCATCAGATCTCATTCTAGATGGTTATGAGCCACCATGTGGTTGCTGGGAATTGAATTCTGGACCTCTTGAAGCGCAGTCAATGCTCTTAACCTCTGAGCCATCTCTCCAGCCCCAAAAATTATTTTCTAACAAGCTTTTAAAAAAAAGATTATGAAGCGAGTGTTTATGGTATTCCAACAGCTACATGTGCCAGTTATCAATTATATGCTTTGTATTTTGGAGGTATTTTACTTGCCTTTAAGTCCAATTTAATTTATCTCTAGAATTTTCCAGAGAAATGGAAAGGTCTTAGATTTGTTCAAAACAAAACTGAGGAAGTAGCCGGGCGGTGGTGGTGCACGCCTTTAATCCCAGCACCCGGGAGGCAGAGGCAGAGGCAGGCGGATCTCTGTGAGTTTGAGGCCAGCCTGGTCTCCAAAGCGAGATCCAGGAAAGGCGCAAAGCTCCACAGAGAAACCCTGTCTCGAAAAACCAAAAAAAACAAAAACAAACAAACAAACAAAAAAACAAAACTGAGGAACTAAACCTCTGCATTTAACCAAAGGTATATGTAACTTGTTGGCTAAGTAATAGTATTTGTACCTCTCCATACAAACTGTTACTTTATTATGTATGAGTTCTATCACTCGCTTTCTTGGGTCCTACAGTCTAAAGAATGTTAAACACAAAGCAGGAACCATTACTGTACAAAGAAAATTGACAATAGAATAATTAAAAAACAAGGAAAGAAAAATCTTATAAAGCCCCTGATCAAAATTCCCCACTAACTTCTAGAGCCAGCCACTGTAAAGAGAGATGACATTGGAAGCCAGAAACCATGGGTACATAATAAAAGCTCTGCCTGTGAATTTTCTCATGATTGATAAATCTGTAATCAGAAAACTAAAGCTAGAAAATCTATAAAGTCTCTCCTCTGCATTATCAGTACTGGACATACGGAAACCAATCAGTTACATGTAAACTACATGGTATCTCCTCACTAACTCAAGGTGCTCTGGCAATTCTCTTCCTATTCTCCTCCATCATTTCCCCCTACTTGATGTCTTGTTTCTACCAGACAAACATTATTTCATTTATCTTAAAAATAAGCTTATTTTTTTTTTTATTATGATGTGTGTATATGTGGGATGTGGGCAGGTGCTCTGAGGAAGTCAGAGGACACCTTCAGGAATCGGTTCTCTCCTTCTACAACGTGGACCCAAGGATCAAACTCAGATTGGCAGGCTTGGAGCAAGTGTCCTTATCGGCTGAATCTTTTCACCAACCCATAAAATCTTTTTATTTACTGATTATTTTTTGAGGCAGGGCCTCACTATGTAGCTCAGGCTGGCCTTGAACTCAGACTCGCCTGCCTGACCTCCCCACTGCTGGGATTAAAGGTGTGCACCAGCACTCTAAAGTACTTGACCCTTCCTGTCCTACTACTCCATTTCCTTGCTTCCTTTGAATAAAATACTCAAATAATTGCCGAATTTTCCCACAAACCTATTCCACCCAAGCTGGTCATGGGTATCACTAACAATCTCCACATAACTAAATTCAGTGGTCGAATCTCTTGTCCTGTCAGCTATATACAATATATTTTCTTTCCAACATATGCTTGATTCTTGCATTTCCAGAACATATCTTATCACTCACTTTTCAGTTTCCTGTGCTCATTTCTTTACTTTCATAAAAGTTTCCTCTGCCAATCTATACCACATCATACTTTTTACTTACTTTGTTATATCTCTTTTTCCTAAAGCATTTTCATCACAAAACATACTTATCAAATCTATTTCCATTTACTAGAACAATGGTTGGAGAACATAGCCCCATAGCCAAATCTAACCATCTGTCTTTGTGACTAAAGTTTTACTGGAAAAGGGCCAGATGCCAAGTCTAAAACATATTTATTTATATAGGTCTTTAGAGAAGAGATCTGCTTATTCCTGTATTAAAACACAGGCTCCAAAGAGGAAAACTGATTTTATTTACTGATGCATCCCAAATTCCTATGATTCTCAAGTATTTGTTTAACTGAATTCTCTCTTGAGGTATGCATAGTAATTGAAACTACCTACTAGTGGACTAAAGTGAAATAATTCATATAAAAGTCATATATTTGGATGAAAATATAATTCCTAAAAGGCAGCCCACAATTTTTATTTATTAGATCCTGAATGACAATGCAGATGTCTGAATTGTTTTTCCAATAGACTGCAGAAAATCATACCAAAATATGCTAAACTTTGAGAAACTATCCAGTGTGAATTTTTTTTTTTGTACAAAACCCCATAATCCTTTTTTTTTCTTTTAGAAATTTTGTGTCTGTCCCTTGGGTTATATGTAAAATACATGCCTGGTAAAATTAAGGAACGGGCTCAAGTACTTATTCTAGATTTTTCAGACAAAACTCTCATCTTGGCTTTTATCTTAAATATTTCATTACTTCCAGACAGACTAGTCCAATATTAGTTTTAATATTTGGAAGGAAGAATAAATACTAAGTATTAAACATACCATTAGGATGTAGTGCCAGCCAGAGAAGATATTTCTATGAGTTAAAGAGTATCTAAGAAAATATTTTGTTAAAAACAATCACTGAGGGCCTGGAGAGATGACTCAGTGGTTAAGAGCACTGACTGCTCTTCCAGAAGACCCTGGTTCAATTGCCAGCAACCACGTGGCAGCTTACAACTGTCTGCAACTCCAGTTCCAGGGGATCTGACACCCTTACACAGACACACAAGCAGGCAAAACACCAATGCATATAAAAAATAAAAAGGAGGGCTGGAGAGATGGCTTAGAGGTTAAGAGCACTGGCTGCTCTTCCAGAGGTCCTGAGTTCAATTCCCAGCAACCATGTGGTGGCTCCCAACCATTGGTAATGAGGTCTGGTGCTCTCTTCTGGCCTGCAGACAGAATACTGTATACATAGTAAATAAACAATAAAAATAAATAAAAGGAATCATTAAAAAAATTTAATCATAGAAATCATCTGGATGATGATCCCCAACTGAGTGGGTCAATAAGGAAACTGGGTGCAGTTGCCTCATGACGCAGCGTCTTAATTTTAGGAATACAGCACCAGACTACAACACAAAGAGCTATGAGTGTGGGAGGAGACAAAAATCTCAGCCCTTAAAAACTCCCATCCTAACAGGAAAAGAAAACATAAATAAATGCTCAATACAAACTAACTAAGGGCATAAAAGTTTCAATATTTTAGAAAGGCATTATTAGTTTTTCAGCACTGATTGATGATTAAACCCAGGGCTTCATGTACGCTAAGTGTTTCATCACTATGCTACATTCCCAGTTCCCCAGTCCACATAACTGGATGTTCAATGGCCTGGTGGGCTTAACCACATACACTTTCAACAGTATTATATTTATACAATGAATGGCAATTGAAGCTTTGAATAAACAACAACTTTTAGAAATCTAATAATTAAAAAGGTATTAGAGAAACCTGTAATTAAAAAGTTTTATTGTGAATTCTCTTACACAATAAAGATTTTTATAAAGACAGAAATTATCCTAATATTTTGGGTAAATTCAAGTTTTTGCATTTCAAATTTGAGTGACAAAGAAAAGTAAGCTGAAACTTTTGGGTAAACATATTAGGCTGCTCAAAAGGAAGTAACCAGCTTTGTTTCAAGACAGTGTAACTGTAACTTTGCTATAGCTGTGATTAAGATTCAGGTGGAGCTGGGTGTGGTGCCACACACCTTTAAATCTTGTGCTTCCATCTTAAAGCTGGATGATTTTTAAAGACTTATTTTTTATGTGTGTGTGTGTGTGTGTGTGTGTGTGTGTGTGTGTGTGTGTGTGCACGTGTGCGCGCGTGCGCGTGCAATGTGCCTGAGAGGTCAGAAGAGGGTATAAAATCCTCTGGAGCTCAAGTGAGAAGTGGCTGTGGGTTGTCCAGTAGGTTCTGGGTCCCAAACTCAGGTTCTCTTCAGCCAAGAGCAGCAGCACACCTGACCATTGAGCCAACTCTCCACCCACCTATTTTAAGCTCTTTTTTTTCCCCACTTTTTTAGTCATAGCTATCCTGGAATTCACTGTGTAGACCAGGTTAGCCTTGAATTTATAGATACCCACCTGCTTTGCCTACTGATGTTTACAGTGTTTTACAGTATTGTTTTACACTTACAATGAAAGTACCTTAAGTGATTTTTTTTCCTTTGTGACAGTCTAACTGTATAGTTCAGGCCAGTCTTGATCATTCTACGTAGCTTAAGGTGGCCTTGAACTCATTTTCTTCACTATACTACTTGCCTTTCATGCAAAGCTATCATTTCCTCTCACACACGAAAACAAGCAGACATTTTCTATATCTACCTCATTTTCTTGTATTAGAAAAGCACTTCATTATCTACATTTCTATAGTATGCACAGCACCTACCAAGAACAATGCATCTAATAATTTCTAAATTTTTTCCATGATACCCACTCTTCTCCAGAATCTCTCTTTCCTTTGGAATGTCCATAAGCCAAGCTGGTTATAGGTAAGGGTAATATTAAAAATGTTTTTAAGAACAGCAAGGCATAAATTCCAAACAAGAATGATACTAGCTCAGAAACATATGGCTGTAAATGAAAAGGGTTATACTTTTTTCTAGGTTAGTCCCATTTTCAAAGACTACTGGTAATTTTCATGTTCAGCAATTCCCAGAAAAAGGGGTAGTTTTCCTGAAATGTAACACTATAAACTGGATTCTCAAAATGAACTTAACTTTAATGACTTAGTGGCAGAACAGCTGCCTAGCATGGGAAAGACCCAGAGTTCAGTGCCTAGCATTGCCAAAAACCAAAGCAAAACTTTAATTTTCTTACTTTTGTTTCTTTTTTTTTTTTTGGTTTTTCGAGACAAGGTTTCTCTGCGTAGCTTTGCGCCTTTCTGGAACTCACTCTGTAGCCCAGGCTGGCCTTGAACTCACAGAGATCCGCCTGGCTCTGCCTCCCGAGTGCTGGGATTAAAGGCGTGCGCCACCACCGCCCGGCCTACTTTTGTTTCTTAACAGAACAATTAAGGAATATTAGAACACTCACCACTGGTTTTTTTCTCTTAAACCAACTGTCTCCAAAGAATGATGCTCTTTAAGTCTCCTCCCTTTTTAATGTGCACGCAATCTCAGGTGTAATCCTCAGAAACACTATCCACCTCATCTGAGACAGGGTCTCTCATGGCCTGATCAATTAACACCGACTGAGGACAAGGAGCCCAGGACAATCCTGTTTCTGCTTCTCTAGCACAGGGCTCCATGTGCTGGGAACTGAACTCAGGGCCCCACGCTTGTTGGCAAACATTTTACTGACTAAGCTGTCTCCAGCCCTGAGCCAGCTTTATATCACGTCTCTCTTGTTCATTTATATCCATAGTTAGGCATAAAAGTTTTTCTTCTTTTTTTCTTTTTTTTTGAGGGGGGCAAAGAGGGTGGTTCGAAACAGGGTTTCTCTGTGTAATAGCTTTGCCTGTCCTGGAACTTGCTTTGTAGACTAGCCTGATCTTGAACTCATACAGATCTGCCTCCTGAGTGCTGGAAGTCTTTTTCTTCTTAAATAAAAACATACAAATAGACAAGTCTGGGGACTTGCTAAGGATATTGTAAACTGTTAGCAAAATAAATCTTTGACATTTAGAGAGGGAAAATATTGAAAATTCACAAAAAGCAAAGATATGAAATCATTTAAAAATAAATCGGAGGGGCTGGAGATTAAAGAGCACTGACTGCTCTTGCAGAGGAACTGGGATCAGTTCTCAGCAGTTACTAGGTGGCTTCCAAACATCAAACTTCAGCTTCAGAGGATCTAATGCCCTCTTGGGCCTCCTTGGGCACCAGGCATGCACACAGCCCATACATATATGCAGGCAAAACACTCATACACATAAAAATCAACCAACCAACCAACCAACCAACCAACCAACCAACCAACCAACCAACCAACCAACGAGTTGGGTGTTGTGGTTCATAGCTATAATGGTAGCACTTTAGGAAGGATGAGGCCGAGGAACTATCATGAGTTCCAGGCCAGCCTGGGGTACAGAGGGAGACCTTGTCTCAAGTACCCACCTCTTCGCCTCAAAAAAACAAAAAACAAACAAAAAAACAACAAAAAAACAAAACAAACAAACAAAAAAACAAAAGCAAGCTTGAAATCATCCATATATAGGTATCTCAGAGAACACGTGCTTTGTTCTTAAAACAGTCCTTACCCAACTTCGGAAAAACTATTAGGTATTCAGCATTGCACTGAGGACATGCCACTCTGGCTGTACTGTTTCCTCTCTGCTTCTCATCCACCCAGCGCTGTAGACAAGCCTGGTGAACCCACTTAGTAGATCCTCTGCATCTGCACGGTCTCACCCATTCAGCTGTTCTATCATCTTCATCGGTGGCAAAACACACCCAGCAACTTCTGTAAATTAAGAGAGAAATGTTTACCTCCAGGGTTCCAGCCTCCTGCACGTGAAACCCTTAGCTAATGGCATGGAATTACTATGAGGTATTGTAGAACTCGTGTTTTATATTAGAATACAGAGCCCAAACAACCAATCTATTCCTAGTATAGCATTTTCTTCTTTTTTAAAAACCATCCACTATAGAATCTATTTTCTGAACTTTGTTTTTATTCATCTTTTTAGTAATTCTCCCTGACTAGTAAACTAGAGTACCAAAATAGTTTTCAAGTGCCTTTGGTTTTATAAGACCTCATGAACTTAAGAAAAAAATAAAGTATTAGTGATTTCATATATAGTTCTCTCACTTCCTGGCAAAGTCAGGAAATTGCATAAGACTTAAAACAAACACATTAGGCAGAATGTTTTTGAGCCATATTACCAGACCGAGGAAAACCCTTCATGGTAAAGTATGGCTCTAGGAAGAGAAAGGAATATTACAACTTCTTTTCTGTCTCGTGTATTTTTTGAGATAGTACCTCACATGGCCTAGGCTGGCCTTGATTTCCTAATTCTCATGCCTCAAACATCCCAAGCGCTAGGACTACAGACTCATACCATCATGTCCCACTCAACAGCAACAACTTTAAGGACAAGGGGTTGAGTGTAGTTGCTGATTCCTACATATAGAGCCAGCACTAAGGAGGCAAGGAAAAGAAAATTCTGAATTCAGGCCAGCCTGAATGATACAGCAATTGCACCGCATAGACTGAAAGGGAAGGTGTTGCAGAATATTAGTTGAAGATGTATTACATTTTTTTTTATGCTGTGGACTGCTTAATGATGCAAAGATGTGTTGCATTTGTTTAACTCTGTGAAGCTGTGTTTCTGTGCTTGTCTAAAACACCTGATTGGTCTAATAAAGAGCGGAACAGCCAATAGCTAGATAGGAGAGGGCTAGGCAGGGCTGCCAGG